AAAAAGAAAATACATAGTGAAAGACAAAAGGTATATAAAAAACAAAATAAAAGTCATAGATGGCGCCAAATTAGGACGTTAATGACTCCCTTGGTCTTGCTTCTCACTTGAAAGTTTCTCAATATTGGATCGAAAGAAGTTAACGCCAGTCTCATAGGAGCATTTAAATTTGGCAACTTATTTCTGTGTTTATTTTTAAATGACATATAATGTTGAGAATGATGCCTCACACAGATAAGTGGAATGAAAAGAAAGAAGAAGTTCCAAAGCTTTTTTACTTAGCGTGGACTTTCATCAAGTAATCCTATCCGAAAATCTGCAACATTTTCGCAGTGAGATTTTATCACTTTTAAATGATCATCGGATAAAATTTCAATAAGCTGTTCATTTTCCTGAATAGACAGATTATTATTGTGGGTAGCCTAAAAAGGGATCAATCACCCACAGATTATTTTTTCCTCACATCTGTATCAGCAGGGAAGTACTTTTCAAAGTAATCTTGAAGCGACTTAATGTAGGACTTAACCAGTGAATGTAAAACATCCTCATTTAAGCCTTTATTTTCAGAGATAAAATCTGAAAACAAGTTGAACATTTCAAACGATCCTTTTCCAGCTTCGGACTCCCATAGCAACAATTTATTCTAAATAAATCAATTTTTTTTCCAAAGGTCAAATGCGGTTTTAGATGGTCCCTGCTGGCCTAGATCAATAGGTTGAGCTGTTCAAAAATATCTGCTAAAAAAAGCTAACTGGGCTATAAATTCTCCGTCACGCAGTGTTTTCGCTAAATCAGATTTTTTTTTCATCAAGATACATACATACTTCTTCCCGAAGTTCATAAAATTTGGCTAAAACCCGGCCCCTGGAAAGCCACCTAATTTCGGTATGTAGAAGGAGATTGGAATGGATGGATCCCATGTCCTCGCATAACAAAGCAAACAATCTCGAACTAAGAGCATTACTTTTTATAAAGGTCACGGCCTTTACCACAGTAGTCAAAATCTTGTTTAGGTTGGGACTTAGTCTTTTGGCAGCAAGCATTTCGCGATGAATAATACAGTGTCTTAAAACAATATCACGGTTTCCTTCTTTCCTTACAAAACTTGGCAAGCCTGTTTTGTGACCTGTCATTGCCGCGGCACCATCAGAGCAAAGTCCTACACAGTCTTTCCAAGAAAGATTTTTAATTGTGAAATATTCGTCACTGGCTTTAAAAATGTCTTTTCCGGTTGTGTTACCTTGCAACTCAATCGAGGTCAGGAACTCCTCAGATAATTTTTTGTTGTCTTTATCTATGAATCGTATATAAACAAGAAGAATAGCTTTATTGGTAATATCTGTAGATTCATCAAGTTGTACAGCAAAAATCTTTGAGGCATGAATTTTCTTTAGAAGTTGGGTTTCAACAGCTGATGCCATTTCTTCAATTCTCCTACTAACGGTGTCATTGGAAAGAGGAATATTTTGCATTTGTTTAGCGTATTTATCACCTAAAATTGCTTTCTTTGCATCTACGATAGATGGTAAAACTAATTCCTCACCAACAGTAAAGGGTTTTTTGGTTTTTGCGATTCTAAGTGAAAGTTGATATGACGCCTTCAAAGTAGCTTTATCATAAGTTGAGTATAACTTAAGGATATTTTTTGACGATTTTAGTTCGGTCTCCTTTCTCTTAAAGAAATCTACACGTTTTCCGGCAAAATTTTTATGCTTTGTTTCAAAGTGTCTAGTTAATTTTGCCGGCTTCATTGGCTCATTACTTAATACCTCCGCACAAATTACACATTGAGGTAACTGGACACCAAATTCTTCAATGAATGTAAATCCACATGCTATGTAGTCAGGTTGTACTTACGGTTAGCAGCCTTTCTTTTAGAACCAGTTTGAGTTAATATTGTGCTATCACTGGCAATATTACTAGTAGAACACTATCCGTCTTCTTAAAAAAACCCGAACGTCTCATCTGTTTGCTCATTATAGTAAACTACAATCACCAAGCCAAAAAAGACTCACGCTCGTCACTTGACAGTTGAGTCAGCACTGAGTCACTGAGTAGTGTGAGGGAAAATACGCGGAAGATTGAGGTGAATGAACCTGTGTTCAGGCGCGCTTGGTCCTCTGGAAACGTTTTGAGTTAAAAAGATAGGCTGGCGCATTAATTTACGTCTCAAGAACCAAGATTTAAATTGATTATTTTATGACTCTTCACTTCGCGGACCACATGAAAACCGTTCGCGGACCACAGGTTGAGAATCACTGATTTAGAGGACGCAGCAACATCATTGTTACAACAAAATAAAAATCCTCCTTCCTATTTTCGAGGTCGTCCATCTGCCAATGAAAACATTGATAATTGCTATGATCGACTAGACCATTTAGTAATTCCACAGGAAAAACCAACTTGATGTAGTTTGTGCCAGGATAGAGCAAAAATGAGGTGTTCAAAATGCAAAGTAGGTTTACATGTTAAATGTTTTGTTTCATACCCCACTGAAACTTAATCGTAGTTTATATGCCTGGTGTACCATATTTTGTACAGTATTTTTTTACTTATTTTTCATGAATATTTTGCTTTTACGATAAATATATTTTTGTTAATTAATATAATTCGTAAATTTGGAGAAGAATATTAAAAAATATTTTCATGTAGGTTTTAGGCATATCTGGGTTAAGAATATATTAAGCCGTAACAAACACAAGTTTGTTATATTTATTATTGACCCAAAAAAATTTGGGTCAATAACCAAAACAAAAATGAACAAGCAACGAGAATCCAATAAACAAAGACATATTTTATTGTTTTATGTTTTAATTTTAACTTAACTTCGCTTTCTATAAATTTATAAAAATTGCAAGTTTAGTTAACACTAAATATTCAAAAGACTGGGAATACCATTCCACGTTAACAAAAATTGTAAGTATATAAATATTGCACAAAAATGTTAACGATCTAAAAATGTATTTTAATTTATTGTTCATGAATTTTTATTTGTCTAATTTACATATAAATATATAAAAAAGATAACCATACTAAAATGCAACAATACAAAAATGATTGTGAAAAGCATGGTATTTGTAACAATTTTGTTGACGGCAACAATATTTGCAGTTTATGCAGACGTAAGTTATAATATTTACTTTATTTATGGTACAAACTTTCTAATATTAATAGACACATGTTTTGACTATGCGGATAATTACAAAAAAACTTTAAATAAATAAGTTATTAACTCAAATAATGGTGTATCTCAAAATGTTTTCTATTATATATTAATTAATGGCAAGAAGATGGTCGTCATAACAAAAACAATTTTGTCTTTCTGCTGAAAAAGGCAATGTGTTAATTTCAACAATACAAAGCTTTTCTTTGTATCAGCTCTAGTTTTCGAAAATATTCTTATATTTCTGTATATTCTTCTAATATATTCCACTAAATAATAAATATATTTATCGAAAACCTTAAGGCTCATTGACGAAAATCCTAACGGTAAATTTTAGTGGGCTATCTCGTATTTCAAATACTTCTTTCTTTACGAAAACAAAATCTGTTCATGAAGTAATATTCTAAACTTCGTTCAGATATCTCTCTCAAGCCCAGGTCAAAAATGCGTTAATCTTTTACTCGAGCCGATTATACAATCGGGACAACCCCTGAAGTGACAGGTTTGGGGCTTACAATAAAACCATAAATTTCTCTTTAGCGGTGTTTTGAGTAAATATTATAACGGATCAAAGTAATATATTCTATTCATAAATTTACAATGTAACAAAGGTACATACATAATTTATTTGTTACTTTTTTACGGAAAAATTGGCTGTTTCAATTTTAATGTAAATTAAAGTTTAAGGAAAATAAAAATTATAAAACAAGATTATAATCATATATCATAAAAATTTTATTAGTATCATGATCATTCAAATTGATAAAATGAAACTATATAAATATAGAATTATGTCTAATGTTTCTTCAGAAGGCGTTTCAAATAAAAATTATAATAAAAATCTTGCAATTTTTGTAGCATATTTTCCCACAGTTCCATATCTTTATCAATCTTTTCGAATAAAATATTTTTTGGGGTCCATACCGCAAAGTAACTAAATCTATTAGATATAAATAACAAAATAACTGTCCTTGCACTGAATAGTAATAGGAATCAGTTCTTTTTAAAATTTCTTGAAGGAAGGAATAATTTAGTCACGCTATCATTTCCAATTTTGATTTTTGATATTGAATTTGATAGGTTGTGGTTTATTACACCAAAATCTAATAAAATAAAACATAGACACAAGAAATAGTTTCAGAATAAGTTTGATGTGTTGTTTATTATCATTCAGTAAGAGACTAATTTACTTATTACAATACTAATCTAACAGACAATTAATATAATCAAATTAGCTGTGAATTATCATCTTTTCTCTGACTTGATCTACTACTTGTAATTGGTCGTAAAACGCTTCCTTGTTGTTTTGAGGCTTATTATTTTCTGGGCCGTATACTCCGATAATGTTCAGGTTTTCGTTCTCCATTCTTATCTTTGCTGTTATTATTCTTTCTGATATGTATTGACACTCTTTGATGTAATTTTTATACCTTTGGTGTATTAGTAAGGCAACACCTTCTTTGGCCCTGTTTTCTTTTGCCACTCCACTGTAAATTAGTATGTATTCACCTAATTTTGATTGACCTTTTCCTTTATTTTTTGTTTCATGGAGAGCACAAATGTCTGTTTCTTTCTCTTTCAGCACTTGGGTTATTTCTTGGTCTCTTGAGTTGAGTGATCTAATATTCCAAGTAGTAATTCTCATCTGGATTTTGGATGTTTTTCGCTGGTTTTTATTTCTTGCCGTAATCGTCTTCATAGTATCAATCCGGTTCCGAGGCTGTACATTGTTTCTTTGAGCAGTATTTGTTTTTATGATTGGAAGGTTGCTAAACCAATAAATATAAATATTTAAATTTCATATTTAAATACTGCAAAATATTTGGTGATTACTCTGAGCTCATGTAAAGAAGTTAAGAAAATAAAAATTCTGATTGAAATACAAAAAAAATTTACTGGCTGATTGACTAAAATTCTACGCTGTTTCTATATAATAAATTATTATTATATAAGCAACTAGTGAAACAATAGTATTATTATAAAAACAGTATATATATATATATATATATATATATATATATATATATATATATATATATATATATTTAGAAGGAAAATGTCACAAATTAAAACAAAATATTTCTATCAATATAAAAATTTAATCAAATTATAGGTACCTAATTACTGCTTACTTATATAAAATTTCCTATTTTGAATACAATAAACACACTGGTTTGTCAAAAGTCGGAATAAGCCCTAATAATGTAATTCTACGTTATTTATCCTCTTCCGAGGGTCTTACCTACCTGTTGGCGAGAATTCAAAAGCTACCGACAAGGACAGCTTGTGCTGACGGAGAGAGAATTACATTTAGCAGAACTTTGAAATTTTTTATACCAAATAGCTGCTTTGTGTTACACTTTATGTTAAAAATAAAAACAGATTCGGAAAGTGGGTCAAATTCTGTAGTGCGCTATTTAAAAAAAAAAAATTCCGTTTATTTTAACCAAAAATATTTGAAAAAAAATATTGTTTACACAATTTATTAATTTACATCCAAATAGGTGCCCAGGGGCACCGACAACTCTACGTGTATTTCGAAACACGGTGACGGCTTATTTTATTTTTAGAAAGAAAAATATCGCTGTTGTTGGCTAGAATCGAACTTTTGCCAGTCTTAGAAAGCCAGCATCTTAGCAGCTGAGATATGTCTGCCTTTTTCTTCTTCTTAATGTGCCTATCCATTACGAATATTGACGATCATCATGACAATCTTTATCTTATCTGTGGCAGCGTGGAAAAGCTGCACAGATGTTGTATTGAACCAGATTCTGAGGTTTTTTAACCAAGATGTTCTTCTTCTTCCTGAACCTCGCTTTCCAAATATTTTTCCTTGCAGGATGGCTTAAAGGAAAGCATATCTGGATTCATTTCGCATAATATTTCCAAAGAATTATAACTTTCGAGATTAGATAGTGGTCAGTAGCTCTCGGTTCTTATTTATTTTTCTAAGGACCTCCTCATTTGTGACTCGGTCAGTCCACGGTATCTTAAGTATTCGTCGATATAGCAACATCTCAAATGTTTCCAGTTTTCTGCACATATCTTCATTCAAGGTCCACGATTAAACACCATAAAAAAGGACAGAGAAGACATAGCATCGCAACATTCTTACTTTTGTATTAAGAGAGAGGTTATGACTCTTGAAGAAGCTAGATCTAGCTTCTCCGATACGTGCTCTAATCTTCTTGTTGTTGATCCATTCTTTATTAATTACGGTGCCAAGGTAGTTGTAGTGCGTTACTCTTTCTACAGGGAATTGATTGACGTAGAGTAAACCTTCTGTTATCCCTTTCTTGCTAATTATCATAAGCTTTGTCTTCCTACGTCTGTCTACTTTGTACCAATAGTTTTTAATGACTCTTATAGGTTAATATATGTTTGCAATTTTTATAGTTTTTTATAATCAATGTTATGCTTTTCTTACAATAAATGCGTAGGTAATTGCTACTAGTAGGTAGTAGGTAGTAGCTAAATTAAATGATTGTGTTTGTGATTGCAGAATACTCAAGTGGTAACAAATGAAGGCACCATTTTGGGAAGGACATCGTTATCAGAAAAACTAAATAAAACAATACATATGTTTCTTAGTATACCTTACGCAGAACCACCAAAAAGATTCGAGGTGAGTGAGATATTTATCGATATCGATTTTTTCAAATATTTTTTTTCCAGCTGTCTATTCCAAAATCTACTTGGACAGGTGTTTTAAATTGTACGTTTGAAAGAGCCCAATGTTTGCAAACCCAAGACAAAATAGAGGGTTCAGAAGACTGCTTATTTTTAAGCGTTTTTAGTCCAAATGTAAGTAGATTTATTTTGCGTGTGGAAAATAATAAGTCACACTAAAGTGTTTACCTACTATGCTCACTATTAATATTAGGTATAATATACTCAGTTACATTAGGATTGTTACACCCAGAAAGAAAAATTGCTTGAACTTAATTTTGTAGCAACAGAATAACCATATTTAAGACATGCTATGATAACAATACCAATGTTTTATCTTTTCTACTTTTTGAAAAATAAAGTTTATTCTCTTATTTTTCTTCTTTAATTTTTTTTTAAAAGATACCGATTTGTGAAACCGTTTCATATAAAAATTGTTAGTTATTATTCCTCAATCTTATTGTATTCAGTGTAAAAAAATGCCTCGAGTTCGAAGACACCAAAATTACCATCAAGTTAGCGATTTTGACATGGGTAGAATAGTTATGCGTATCTGTCGTGTATGGACAAACGAAGGTAGAGAAACACGAAGAAGACCAACTGGTCAACCAAGGCATACCACAAAGCGTCCAGAGAGGCGCTTCAGATTACTGGCTCTGACCGTTTTGCTACTACGCGTTAAATTGCTGTCCAATACTTTAAAGTAGTACAGTAGTAGTAAGAGTAGTAGTTTGGAGTAGTACAGAAGTAGTAAGATAACGCACGTCCCCAGATTGCTCGTCAAACTATGGACTTTCTCCAAGAAGCTGGCGTTAATGTTTGGCCATGGCCGCCTTGTACTCCAAATTTAAATCCTATCGAATATGTATGAGATATGATGGGAGGGAGACTGTCCACTTTGCACCATCCTCCACAGACTCTGACACAGTTAATATATGAAATTCAAGTTGCTTGGAACGAGGTGCCATAAGCAGACATCGATTTGTCAATGCCTAGACGTATACTGGAGTATATTCAGCTACGGGGTCGCCAAACAGATTATTAATTTTTTTTATTACTTGTTAATAAAAATTGTTGTCAATGATATCGTTTCATATATATATATATATATATATATATATATATATATATATATATATATATATATATATAGTACAGGTTGTTTACAACTGTCGTTGTTTTCCTGTCCCTAGTTTCCATCGTTTCCTATCTCAGGTGTCGGCTTCATTTAGCTATTTAGCTGTCTTCCTTCCATGGCTTCATTCACGTCATCTCGCCAGCTTCTTCTTGAAAGCCCTCTTTTCCTTCTTTCGGTTGGGATCAATTTTAATATTGTCTTTGGCCACCTCTCGTCTGCCATTCTGTTTACATGACCGAACCAAGTTAGTTGTTTTTTCTGGACTTCATCTATAATGTCTTTTTCTTGCTCAATTCTACGTTTTATTTCTTTATTGCGAATTCTATCCATCCTTGTCAATCTACAGCTTCTTCCCATAAAATCCATTTCGGTAGCTTGTAATTTTTTCCTGTTTCTTTTACTAGTGTCCTATATCTCTGCTCCGTATGTTACCACCGGCTCAACCATTGTCATATATATTCGTTTTTTCGTCGTTCTTGTGATTTTTTTATCCCAGAGAATGGAGTTTAGGCATTTGGTAATGTTTCTGCCTTTGTTTATTCTTGTATTTATTTCTTCATGGCTATTTCCGTCTTTTGTAAACACTACTCCTAGGTATTTTACTCTATTTGTTCCTTTGATTTTGTCACTCTCCAATGTCAGGTCTTCGACTGTATTTTTCCCCACCGAGAGATGTTCGCATTTTTGTAAGTTCATTGTCAGTCCACATTCTTCGTACGCTGTTTGTAGTTCTCTAACCATATAGCTGAGATCGTCTATATCTTCTGCTACCACCAGTTTTGCATCAGCGAAGAATAGTGTATAGAGAATATTCTCGTCTATTTGTATTCCCATATTTCTGCATTGTCTTTCCCACTTTTGTAGAGATCGATCCAGATATATTTTAAACAGCTTAGGTGATAAACAACATCCCTGTCGTAGCCCTTTCGTAGTGTTGAATTTCTCTCTAAGTTTGCCACCTATTTTAATTGATGCGGTGTTGTTTACATACCACTTTTAACAAACAAAACACACAAAACACAATAAAACGAAGGTTTTATTTCCATGTTTTGCATTTCACTCCATAAATTATTTATCGGCACGTTATCATATGCCTTTTCAGGATCTATCAGGGCTGTATGTGTTTCTTTGTTTCTTTGTTGTCGCTTTTCGATTAATATTTTAAGTGTAAATAGATTATCTATAGTCGATCTTCCAGCTCTGAATCCGCATTGTTCTTCTGGTTATTTCATACGAATGTCTTCTTCTATGAGGTTTCTAAGTATTCGGGAGTACAGTCGTCCTATAGTGGGGATGACAGCAATTCCTCTATAGTTTCTGACATTGTTTCGTGCTCCTTTTTTGTATATTGGGGTTATATAAATAGGCCTCACGCCATTCTAACGGGGTCTCTTCTCCATTCAGGCATCGTTGGAACAGATCTTTGATCATTTCCCACAGTTTAACTGAGCCGTATTTAATAAATTCTAGTGAGATGTTTCCTGGGCCTGGCGCTTTTTTAAGTTTAAAAGATCTTATCGCTTCTACGATATTTGTCATGTTCAATTCAATGAATTCTGATCGTTTGTCTCTGTTTGCATTTTCGTATTGAAAATTTTGTCGTCCTTTTTGTAGTAACTGTTTAAAGTAGTCTACCCAGCCTTTTTCTGTTATGTTACTTAAATGTAATTTAGTGTTGGATGACGTTTTCATAGATTTTAGCGTTCTCCAGGCTTCTGAACTTTTCGATCCTCCAATCATTTGTTCTATGTATTCGCATTTCTTTTCCTAAGATCTATTTTTCCTTTTTGTTACTTCCGTCTTCACCAGTTTATTTAGGTTGTTATATATTTCTTTAGAAGGGTCGTCTTTTTTATCTAGATATGTTAGGTATGCTTCTTTTTTCTTCTTTATCAATTCATCTATTCCCTCATCCCACCAATATGGAGTTTGTTTTGCGCGTCTTTGAGTGCCTATTGCCTCTTCTGTTGCTTCTTTAATACTGTGTACTATGTGCTTGTATTCTTCTTCTATTATTCTATTTTCTATTACCAGTTTTCCATCTAACCTTCTTTGGTATAAATACTGCACGCTATTATCTTCTAGACTTTGTAGATTATAGTGCTCTTTATTTGTTGTTATGTTCTTATTTACATTTGCTGTTTCGTATTTTCCCAATCTCGGTATGGTCATATTTCCGATTACTAGGTAATGATCACTTCCACAGTCAGATCCTCTCTTTACCCTAACGTCTAAAACTGTTAGTGTTGGTTTTTGTCTCATTATAATATAGTCGATGATGGATTTCTGGTCTCTAGGGCGGTGTTTCCAGGTATATTTGTGTATATCTTTGTGTGCTTAGAAGGTGTTTGTAATTCTTAAATTGTATTGTTCGCACAGATCTATCAGTTTTTCGCCATTATTATTTCTTGTAAGTTCTCCATGTCGTCCAACTACTGCACTGTTTTCTTCTTGGCCTACTCTACTGTTAAAGTCACCTGCCATAACGATTTCGCATCGGTTAGGGATTTGATCTAACACATCTCTTAAAATTGCGTCAAAATTGTCTTTTACTGCTACTGTTTCGTCTTCATTTGGAGCATAAATTCCTATAACCACTATAGTTTGTCCTTTAATTTGAAGGGTTATTTTGATTATACGTTCATTAATACTCTCCCATGACTTTATTTGTTGTTTCAGTTTTTCGTGAATAATTATCGATACTCCTGCTTTTGCGTGGGATGACTTATCTACCCCGCTGTAGAAGTGGATATACCTTTTTAACTTTTCACATCCGTTGCCCTTCTTTTTGGTTTCCGAGAGTATTGTTACGTCCAGCTCTCTTTTTTCGATTTCAAGTAACACTTCTTGTTGCTTATTTCTGAAGCCTTGAAAATTCCATGTTCCAATAATTATGTACCTTTTTCTTTGCAATTTTCGTTGCCAAAAAATCTGATCTAACATCTAACATCGTTTCATTATTGATGCAAATCTACCATGTTGCCAAAAAATTAAGTTAAATAAATGATTCTTTCTGGGTGTAAGACTTCTAATGCCACTGAGATTTTTATCGTCAAAAAGCTTTCATCTAATTCATAATATTGAATATAATAACTTTATACCATAAATGCTAGATATTTTTATTTCACAGCTAACCGGAAGAGCTCCCGTTCTTGTATGGATCCATGGCGGCGGTTTCGTTTATGGAAATGGATCACTAATCTCATTTTCACCCGAACTGTTCTTGGAGGAGGGCCTAGTAGTAGTAGGTATACAGTATCGTCTAGGCATATTCGGATTTATAAGTACGGGAGATCTGTCCTGTCCAGGAAATTTGGGACTAAAAGACCAAACTCTTGCTTTACAATGGGTCCAACGGAATATAGCACATTTCGGTGGCGATCCTAAACGTGTAACAATTTGGGGACAAAGTGCAGGTGCAGCGTCCGTTGCCCTTCACTTAACTTCTTCGAGATCTAAAGGTAAATTTTAATAATATAATAATACTGCTCTAAAGCTATTTTCTTTTTGGTAGTATGTAACATTGAAATCATTATAATTTCTGGGATGTAACAAATCATTTTTCTACTAATATTTTATTCATGTTTTAACAAATAATTTGGTAGTATACAATTTACGAATTGGATGGTGACATTAGAAGAAACTAAATGTTAGACCAAACACTCATGTTACTTCACACTAGAATAACTGATACTTGCCAAATGACCGTTCCTTGTATCTGCACAATTTAACAATTTACTTGCTTTAGTTCTTTTAGGTAAAGTGTGAATGCTTTATATTAAAAACGATCCTGTATTTGTTTAATTTTCCATAGGCATAATATGGCTGACATTCAAATCTGCAGCAACTTGACTTAGTGACTAATCTTCTTCGAGTTTAACAATTGCTCTTGTTGTTTGCTAGTCTTGCTCTTGTAACTTTTTATTTTATTTTTTAATACGCTTTAAATTTTTGACTAGCACTTTGACATTTTACAAATCCGTATGACATTGCGATTTTAGAGCATTACAAGGTTTCTTAAAGATTCTAAAGTAAATATACATTATATTTGTGACAAAAAGGTTACTTAATGGTATCTCCTCTTTCTAAACATACACATACACACACACACACACACACACACACACACACACACACACACACACACACACACACACACACACACACACACACACACACACACACACAAACACACACATATACACACACACGCGCGCGCGAAGAACAAACATTAAATTGTATTTATCTTCTAGGATTATTCAGTGGAGCTATTATGAGCAGCGGTGTTTCTTTATGTTTATGGGCATTATCGAGAAATGCGATTGAATTGGCTCATAAAACTGGAGCTGTATTAGGAGTAGGATCAACAAATTCCAGCCAGTTAATAGACAATTTAAAAAAAGTTGATTATAATAACCTATTAAATGTCTCAAATAATTTAGCTATAGAGGTAAATATGTTATTTATATTCTAAAACATTTACATTGATATGTATAATTATAATAAGGAACACCCATCAGAATATCAAATGAAGGGAAGACACATTGAAATGTATAAAAGAAAAGAAAAAACTACACATAAAATACCTAAACACCAAAAACAGGAAGACTTAGACCTATATAGAACGAAAAACAGAGAGGTAAAGAAAAGAGTAACAAATGAAAAGAACGAACGATGGGAACAAGCAAGCGCAGAGATAGAACGACATATCGGAGGAACGAGAAATTCAGAATCATAGCGAATATTAAAAGCACTCCAAAGAAATAAGACAGAGAAAACCCAGATCGGCAAAATTAGTGAAAACGAGTGGCAAGAATACTACGTAGACCTACTTACAAAAAACCGTCCCCAATTTCAGGAAAATAATACAGAACATGCAGGAAATGGGACATACGACCAGATAGAAATAAGTCTGACAGAAGTCAAGAGAGCAATCAAGACATTAAAGAACGAAAAAGCCAAAGGACCCGGAGGGATAACAAACGAACTAATTAAAAACGGAACGGAAAAGCTATTCCGCATGCTACACAGAATGTTCGAAAGAGGACTAAATGGAAAGGAAATACCTGAGTAATGGACACAAGCATACATCACATCCATACATAAGAAAGGAAACAGGAAAAAATGTGAAAACTACAGAGGAATTAGTATAATATCGTCGGTAGGTAGACTTTACGGGAAAATTATTAAGGAAAAACTAGAAACTGAAATAATAGGAAAAATTGGAGAAGACCAAGCAGGGTTCACAGTAGGAAAATCATGCCTGGATCATAGGTACTCATTAGAACAACTGATAGAGAAGAAAATGGCAAAAGGTAGACCGGTCCATCTGGCGTTTGTTGATCTAAAGAAAGCATACGACTCAATACCTAGAGTCAAATTATGGGAAGCAATGAATGATCTCGGAATCCGACAAACACTAATAAAAGCAGTTAAAGCACTGTACAAGGAAAACAAAGTGGCTATTAAATGTGGAAATAAAGCCTACAATCCATTTAAGACGACAAAAGGACTTCTACAAGGCTGTGCTACGTCATCTACTCTTTTTAAAATATTCGTGGAAAAGACACTCAAACCATGGAGGAGAAAGTGCGAAGGAATGGGCATACCAGTAAGAGACAAATACCTATACACCTTAAGTTTTGCCGACGATCAAGTAGTCATCGCACAAGATGAAGAAGATCTCAGCTTTATGCTCAGAAAACTAGAAGAAGAATATAAAAACAACGGAATGGAAATAAATTTAGAGAAAACCGAATACCTAACAACAGAAAACAAGGACATGAGAAAGACGAGGGAAGACAAGTAAATGAAACAGATAAATTCAAGTATTTAGGAACCATAATATCGAACCAGGGAATAACAGAAGAAGATATAAACAACAGACTAAGACAAACAATAAACTGTATAAGACAACTAAATTCAGTGCTGTGGGATAAGAACATTACGATAAAGACAAAAAAGAATATATATAACACCCTGACAAGAAGTATTTTGACATATGGGTTCAAAAACTGGACAATAAACAAGAGAAATAGAGGTAGAATAAAAGCAGTAAAAATGGAGTTCCTGAGGAGAAGCTTACACAAAGAGACAGAATTGAAAACGCAGAGATTAAGCGGAGAATGTGAGTGCAATCAGACATAATCGACTATATAGAGAAGAGACTATCCTGGTACGGCCACGTCAGAAGAGTGGACAGAGGAGCTGGATAAACAAAATTACAGAATGGAGCCCGATCGGAAGAAGAAAGAGAGGAAGACCGAAGGTCATTCAGAGACAAAATCGACGAGGCTATAAAGAAAAGAACCCTGCGAGATGGAGACTGGAATGACAGGGAAAATTGGAGAAAACGGTTGAGTGAAGGAAGACAGTGAAAACTGTGGAAATTCTTAGTAGTAGTAGTGTTTATTTGAAATGTGGTCTTTGACGGATCGGACACACTACATTGGAGAATAACGTATTTATTAATTATTAAACCTTAGTTTTAATTTTGTTTTTATTTTATAATAGTAAAAGTTTTTTAGACTAAAATTGCACTGAATAATACAAAGATAAAATATTTAATACTTATAGATATTTTACAAATACCCATTAGCTGGAATTCCGTTAGGACCAGTAATCGAAGTTCCACATAAAACAGCTTTTTTGACCGTAAAAAGCGATAAATCACTATTATCTGGAGAATTTACCAGGGTTCCCCTACTATTAGGATATACATCAAATGAACTCTCAACTATGGCCCAAGGTAAATCTTAAATATATAGATATTATTTGTATTAGGTAAATTTTAAAAATCTATCATTAAACTACTGATATATAAAAATCTATAACTGTCGTCATGTGCGCAGATAATACGTTCTTCCCAGCATCAGCAAAAAAAAAATTCTTTGGTCTTAAAATCACACCAGTAAAACAAAAGCTATAGCTTTTGTTTTACTGGTGTGATTTTGTTTTATAAGCTAGAGAAGCGAATAAAGCTGTCAAGAAGGCAGCAAAGAAAGACAAAAGAAAGTGGGCAGAAAATCTTGCCGAAGAAGCGCGAGTCGCCGATGAACATCAAAACATGAGACAATTATATAATATCACTAAACAACTAGCCAATAAAAGATATACTACCCACCAACCAATTGTAAAAAGTGCTACAGGTGAAGATATTACAACGCCACAGGAACAAGTCAAAAGATGGCATGAATATTTTAGCGAATCTCTAAGTGCAGTCCCAACATCACCAGAAGACGCTGAAAACCTAATACCCAATATCCAACTGAGAATTCACACCAACGAACCAACAACGCAAGAAATAGAAATGGCCATAGAAAAACTGAAAGCACGCAAAGCAGCCGGCCCTGACAACATTCCACCAGAGTTGTTAAAAGCTTGCCCAGGTACAGTGGCAGAGCTAATCCAACCACTCTTGAAAAGGGCTTGGAGAGAGGAAAAGTTCCCCAAAGAATGGAAAACGGGATTAATAATAAAGATACCAAAAAGGGTGACAGAAGATATTGCAAAAACTGGAGAGGAATCACACTTCTGAATACTATAAATAAATTAACAGCAATAATTATAAACAACCGACTAACAAACAGTGTAGAACCAATGTTGAGGAAAGAATAAGCCGGTTTCAGACCAAACAGATCATGCGTGGACCAAATTAACACACTAAGAATAATTGTAGAACAGTCACAGGAATTCAACTCTCCTCTCTTTGTGTGCTTTGTGGACTTCAAGAGAGCTTTTGACACGCTCACACATACGGCCATATGAAAGGCACTGCAGGAAATAGGAATACCAGAAAAAATAGTAAATCTCATTAAAGAACTCTACAGTGACACAGAAAGCAAAATCCTACACAACGGCATAACATCTGACCCAACAGCTATGCTAAACGGAGTAAAGCAAGGCTGTGTTTTATCCCCCATACTATTTAACATTGTACTGGACTCCGTACTAACAAAGGTAAACTCTAATAGAGGAATTTACTGGGGATTAACAAACAGACTGGAAGACCTAGATTACGCTGATGATATATGCCTTCTAGCACATACAAAACAGGACATGCAACTCCAAGTAAACAAAGTACAAGAAGAATCAAAGAAGGTTGGTCTAGAAACAAACATCAACAAAACCAAAGAAATGCGATTTGGTACCAGAAACAACCAACCTATTATGATCAACGACCAGAAAATTGAGAGAGTAGCGGAATTTGTATATCTGGGCAGCATAATTGACTGTAATGGGGGTACAGAGCGTGATGTACATGAAAGAATAAATAAGGCTCGCAACGCCTACAACATGCTTAACAACATATGGAAATCCAGGATTTACCCAACTAAAACGAAACTAAAAATCTTCAACACAAATGTAAAAGCTGTATTACTGTATGGCTGCGAAACGTGGAAGATATCAGCACCCATAGTACACCAATTACAAGTTTTCATCAATAGAGCGTTACGAAAAATCCTTCGTATATTTTGGCCTAACGAATCTCCAATGAAAATTTATGGAACCAAAGCAACCAAGAAAATGTCATAAAGCAAATAAGGCGAAGAAAATGGAGATGGCTGGGCCACACACTCCGTAGACCGCCAAATGACATTGCCAGGACAGCGTTGGATTGGAATCCCCAAGGCCGACGGAAAGTAGGCAGACCTAAGGGAACTTGGAGAAGGACAGTACTGGACGAAGAGAGAAAAATGGGAAAATCCTGGCTTGAAATTAAAGCACTAGCCAGAAATAGAGTTCGCTGGAGACACTTTGTGGAAGCCCTATGTTCCTCTTAGGAATCTTGGGACTATATATATATAAAACAAAAGCTATGGTAGTAAGAACGTTTGAGATCATGCAGAAATTTTCATAATGAATAATTTTTTTCATAAAACTAAAAATTAAAAAGGTGCTGACTTATAATTGAATACGCTGTATATGTCAATAAAATAATAAAATTAATAAATAAGTTTATTTAACGGTATACCCATTTGTCGAGTGCAGTCTGTCTTATATATAAAATGTCTAGCAACAGTCGGCAACAGGCGGACCGCGAAAGGTTGAAATTCAAATTCAAAATAAAACTGCTGTTAATTTTCAAATAGGAAGTGAAAGGATCAACAAACATAATAACAGTTATGTATAAGTGATGAAATATTGTTTTATAATAATATTGTATGTTTACAATAACTGAAATATATTGAAAAAGTTGTATTTTATTAATTTTAATTTTATTTATAATAAATGTTGTAATTTTTAAAATATGTGGTTCGTTGTTTAATTTAATATACCTTAGCTAGCTCAATTATGTGTTCTAAGCAATCTGTCATTGTGTGACGTCGACTCTGTAGTCTCCTGGTAGAGTTCAAAAAGAAATTAAACCAAAATTTACTTTAGACTTTTGATAAATTAACCCAAATGAAGCACGTTATTTATTATTATTGAACAAATTTAATATAAACAATAAAATTCGTCTGCAACTTGGGTTGCCTTTAAAAATTTACAAAAATAGGAATCGTGTAAATCTTAATGTGGTTTAGTGTCGTGACAATAAAAATTTATTACAAAATGTGGAGACTCTCTACAAGTACCTAAAAACTAAATAAATATTGCAACTTTATAAAGTGTTTAAATGAACTATAAAGAAAAAGAAACTGAACACTTTCAACTTGCATTAAAATATAATCAAAATTTTAAATGATCCCCAAAATTATTATCCAACCACACTTTAAAACAGTTCTGATTTCTTTAAAGAAAACTATCTACTCGCAAAATAATCGGTGAAACTGGAATATCAATCCTCTCTTCGGAAGTTAAGGTACGTACTATTCTATTTTGATTTCATGATCATTATTATTTTCAAATTTTAAGGCCTATCGCAATTATGTTAATTCATGAATTTTAATTTTCTCAATTTAAATGACATTTCTGTACTCCAATAATAATTTATAAGTCAAATTGTTTCTCTTACTTTTTGGAACAAATCCTGGATATCTCTCTATGGAAACTGTGGAAAAACTAAAATTCTAATTAGACGAGTTAAAAAACACTCCCGACCTATTTCACAGTTTCAGGGCTCCCCTTCGTCGAAAAAAAAAATCCTCGTCGGCCTCTTCAAAAAACCAATTATTCGTTGCTAACAGCAACCAACGTTCTTTTTCTTTTCGTCTTCTATTTTTTGAAACCATAAAACTGTCCTGTTCTGACACATTTGTCAATCCACATTAATTTCTCATAATCACTTTAATCACATCTAATTTGGGAATTTATAAAAAAAAATTTCAGATATAAAAATTATTCTATTACAATACTAATACAATTTATTCTTTTCATCTCCACATCATTGTAATTTCTTATTTAACAAAACCCCTATTAATTTAGCTCCCACAGACTTGCTTGACAGTTTATTTTCTGACGTTTTTTAAAATTTCTATGTTTAAATATTTTTTAAGAATTCTTCTTTTTTGTTCTTATTAAGGTTTAGACGATTCACCTATAAACTAGGTAACTATACTATTCAGAAATTATTAACACTATACCAGGTAAGTCAAAATTAATTTATTTAACAATTTACTAATCTTTTTCTCTCTTTTATTTCAGAGTCGAACCCACATTGTGATGGCTTCATGAAATTCATGAACAACAAACTCATATAAAAATCCATTTAAGTTGTATCCTTTTTAACATATTGAAATTATTTCAATATAAATCTGATATATTCTTTTCAAAATCTGGCAACTTTTAAAACACTGCTGCCCACGGTCTGACAGTCGCTCACTAGTTGGTCAGTGACATGCATATAGCGCACTACCGTTAATTTGTTTTGTGATTACTCGCGTTTTCATTCGTTTTATAAAACATCTTTTGTACCTACGGTAATATCTATTCGAAAAGGAGAAAAGTGGACAGTGAAAATAGGAAGTTTCTGGCAAAATGAACTGAACAAAGATATTGTTTTACACTGCCTGATAGGCCGCAATCGATTCTGGTATGCCTTATATGCAGTTAAACTGTGCCTTAGTTAATCAGCAGTTCCACAAGAACTTTCCTCTTGGCAGTCAGCCGCGTAAAGAAAAACTTCGCCTATATCTTAATTCTTACGAAAAAAGCACAAAGTCCTAGTTCGCTGCATGAGCGACCAAGAAAAATCCACAGAAGCAGCGTTACGTGTGTGATGGATACTTAATAAACACAAAAAACCATTTTCTGATTCTGAGATAGTGAAGCAATGTATGCTGGCAGTAGCTAACTCACTTTTTCAAGAAAAAAAAAAGATGTTGCCTCAGCCATTTAAAGCATTTCATTGTCAGCGCGAAATAATACAAGAAGAACGGAAATTTTAGCTCCGGATATTGAAAACTCTCTTCTTAATCTTTTGCAAAAGGCACCTTGCTAATGATGAAAGATAACATTCGAGGAGAAGATTTATTTAAGGATATTGGTTAATTAATTTCTAAATCTGACATCAGTTGTAATAAAATGATTTCGCTTTTTACTGATGGCAATGATTGGCAAAGAAAAAGGTGTAGTAAAGAGGATCAGGGTTAAAAATTCAAATTTAATAACATATCAGTGCATAATGCACCAGGCAGTCCTTTGTAGAAAACTTGGTGCTAGACTTCATGGACAGTTTATTGAAGTTAATTAATTTTATGAGATCTCATTCTGCTCTTTAGCACCGACATTTCAAGGAGTTTCCTTCTGAATGCGATTCAGCATATTATAATTTACTACAACACAATAATGCTCGTTGGTTAAGTA